CCCAGCACGCGCCACCCGCCCGCCCGCGCCCGCCGCTCCGCAGCTAGGCGCCGACCGCCGTCCTCCCCCCAAGATGTGGCACAACGTCGGGCTGACCCTGCTGGTGTTCGTGGCCACGCTGCTGATCGTGCTGCTGCTGATGGTGTGCGGTGAGTGGGGCATCCGCCGCGGGGCAGTTCCACACGGAGTACACACGCCGGCGCGACTCGGGGTGCTCACTTGTTTTGTCTGTTTTTTTTTTTTAAATGTTGTGGATGGACAAGTGTCTTAAAATCATCTGCTGTCCACCTAGCTCTAAGGACTGAGTCAGGGGAGACGTGCCCCTGCCCCAGGAGAGGCCCGCCGGCATCCTGGAGAGGGAAGGAGCAGGATCCAGGGCTGGGCATCCTGACTCAGGGGTAAACCAGATACTGCTTCACGCGCACCGTCTGCTCTTGATTGCCATTCTTAACCACTCTCTGCCCAGATTTTTAACCTTGGCCTGTATTCGAAGGTGAAGTGATTGGTTACTCCTTTTCCTTTTTCAGAGGTTCTGACCCTAATGATAACGAGAGGTTTCCCTACCTTCATTTAATCAGGAGTAGGGACAGAGTTGGGTATGAAGCACTCAGGAAATTGTTTACTTCGAGTTCAGGCTTAAACTGAATTCCAGACAGAAATGTTGAGGCTAGGCAGAACTTAAAGAACACCGGCTGTATTAAACTTCCAGGGTCAGGTAACCTAACTTACAGTTTTATAATAATGGTGCTGTTTTGTTTGCTGTGATGTTTTTTCTTTCTCGGGATGGGAGGATGTAAAACTTTCTTCTCAGGGTAATAGTAGCCCAATTTGAGATCTTGATCTCTTTATATACAGTAACTGATAACCACAGGTCCCTTAGCAAAGTGGCTGAGCGATTGTGAAAATTTGGAAGTATTGAGAACCAGGTGTCAGTGAGTTTCATTTTTCATAATTCCAATCTATTGAAGGATGGTTCAGGTCGATGCAGTAATTTGTCAGAAATAAAAATAAATGCTATAGGTCTTATTCATTTCATGGTTAATGTACTCACTGCTCAGTATCAGCTGTGTTTGGAGAAGATGGTGTGCACTTTTGCAAATGTATATATTTGTATTTGTACTTACATTTGTATTTTATTGTATGTATTTGTACTTACATACTTGTATGTATATTTTTAATTTTCTTGCCATAGGAAGGAACCAGAGTTAACAGCCTTTCTTTTCTGGTAACAAAACAATTGAAAAGCCTTTCTCCATTTCCTGCTTGTGATGGCAGGATTTGGGGCTAATTGTAGATACATTAGATTCTGGAAGTAAGGAAAACCAGATCTGTGTGATTTGTTTGCGTGCGAGGAAGGAGGAAAGCATATGCTTTCTTTCTAATCCCAAGATGCGAGCTGCTTGGAGGTGGGGATGTGTGTGGCACGTAGACCCTACAAAACCTTGCATAGAATATTTGCCAGACTTGCCTTTGGGGCATCAAAATTCCCCATTGCTACTTACATCTTACTTGTTCTCTCATCTCCCAATAGCTAGTTAACTTTGATTTTACTCGTTTTTCTAAAACTGTCTTGCCTTTGGTTTCAGAAAATATTTTGGCATGAGAGGTGAGGTATGGTAAGTAAAAGAACATCTTATTTTGATTGGAATGGTCCAGAACTAATAGCTTTATGAAGAAAGTAATTCAAGCACTGTTTTGTTGGGAGAGCTAATGATGGAGTAGTTTCATGTTTTGAGTAGGGTGGGCCTGGGGCTTGGGGAGAGAAGGGAAGGATCCAGCTAGACTTGAGACTGGAGAATCTCGGGCATTGTATTAGTTTGCAAGGATGCTGTAACAAAATACCACAGACATTAAACAACAGAAATGTATGTCTCCACAGTTCTGGAGGCTAGAAGTCTAAGAACAAGGTGTCAGCAAGGTTGATTTCTTCTGAGGTCCCTCTCCTGGCCTTGAAGATGGCTGTCCTCTCCCTGGGTCCTCATCTGGTCTTCCTCTATGTGTGCCTGTGCCCTAATCTTTTCTAAAAAGAGTGCCAGTCATACTGGATTAGGGCCTCACCCTTATGAATTCTTACAACCTTAATTAACTCTTAAAGGACCTATCCAAATACAGTCAAATTGGAGATTAGAAACCTGTGACATGAGTCCGCCCTGAGAAACTCATCACCTGCTTTATTGTAGAACTGACTGGCTCTTTAACACAGTGAATGCCGACTTTGAAATTTCAGGTTCTTCGGGAGATTTTCTTTCTCTTGTGTGTATTGGTTGTGTGTACTTTCTTGCCTCTCATCCATGCTACAATGTTTTCCACTTTAACCATTCACTGAAGTGGCCCTTGTCAAGGTCAGTAACAAATGGCCTCCATATTTCCAAGTCCATGGTCACTTAGTCTTAATTGTATTTAACCTCTCATACTCATTCTATACAGGTAAGCATTCCTTTTATGAAGTATTTCTCTTCGCTTTTGTACACTGTATTTTCAGTGTCCTTCCTACCATAGTGCCTAATTGTTTATCTTTTCCTGGCTTCTCATCCCTTAGAATTTATTTATTTATTTAAAAAAATTTTATTTACGGGGCACCTGGGTGGCTCAGATGGTTAAGCGTCTGCCTTCAGCTCAGGTCATGATCCCAGGGTCCTGGGATTGAGTCCTGCATCGGGCTCCCTGCTCAGCGGGAAGCCTGCTTCTCCCTGGGCTTCTCTTTCTCTCTGTCTCTCATGAATAAATAAATAAAATCTTAAAAAAAAAATTATTTACTTATTTGAGACAGAGGGAGAGAGGGAGAAAGTGTGAGGGGAGGGGCAGATGGAGAGGGAGAGAAGCAGACTCCACTGAGCATGGAGCCCGACGTGAGGCTGGATCCCATGACCCTGAGATGATGACCTGAGCCAAAACCAAGAGTCAGACCCTTAACCGACTGAGCCACCCAGCCACCCCCCACTAGAGTTTCCTATTAAATGTTTTTGGATCACAGTCTTTGATAGGAAATACATTTTACATTATTCCCAGTACATTCAAAGTATATAAATTACATACATCAGTTTATTTATACATCTATCTGCCCTCTTTCTGTCTCTGAAATAAAAATTTTATGGACTAGTACTTGTCCTTACTCCATGAGATACAGTTATTTTCTGTATTTCTCTGACATAGTACAAATGTATATTTCTATTCCCTTTCCTTCTGTTCTCTCTGCATGGTATCTTATCCAGCCATAGAGATTTAAATATTAACTGTAACTAATGACTCAAATTGACATCTCTGGCTCTCAACTTTTCTCCTGCACTCCAGGCTCATGAATCAACCATTTTTTCTTGATAGCCCCACTTGGAGATCTAAAAAGCATCTCAAACTTAATATACCTAAAACAGAACTCTTGATTTCTGTCACCTGTTTTCCCCCCTGCCCCCTTCCTGTCTCAGATGTTACCAGCAGCCAAGGATGTGGGTGTCATCTTTGGTTTTGTCCTTTCCTTTTGTCCCATCCCTCTTCCCTTACAAATACCAGCTCTATCTGGAAGTGACTTCAGTTTTATGTCTTTTAAGAAATCTGAAATACATTCTCTACGTCTGTGATCACCACCACCGTCCTCATCTTTGGCTTGCATTGGTTTCTTAACTAGTATCTTTTGACCCCCTCTTTTCTTTTTTTTCCAATTAAATAACATTTTATTTATTTTTTTCTTCCAAGTTTTTATTTAAATTCCAGTTAGTAAAGATGCAGTGTAATATTAGCTTCAGGTTTAGGATTTGGTGATTTAGTAATTATATACAATATCCAGTGCTGACCCCCTCTTTTCTTTATGATGAAGGAGCAGAAGGCTAGCTGAAGATAAAGCATAAGCTGACACCCTGCATTCTCCCCGCCCCCGCCACTCCTGGGTGGGATAAGTGTGACATTCTTTCAGGAAGCTCCCAATGATCTTAATGTTAATACCTTGCTAGAGGGGAAAACAAGCTTAACTTGACAGTGGCAAGGCCTTTGGTATCCTGTAGGTCCTCTTTAGCATATGAAAGTTCTTTGAAAACCTCCCTTTTTCCTTACCTCCCCCAACCCTATAGATTACCCCAGTGCAGCTCTTTCTGTCCTCAGGCCCTGTCCCTGGGCCTTAATAAAACCACCTTTTTGCACCAATGACGTCTCAAGAATTCTTTCTTGGCTGGCGGCTCCGGCCCTCACCCCGCTGAACCTCACCTGTATTCCAAAACCACATCATTTATAATCCACTCTTGTATTAAGACCGTGTTTTCTCAAATGTTTTTAACAAAAGAAAGTTTCAAAAGTTGATAGTACTAAAGGCATAAAGTAGTTCCCTTCAGCCCTCGGCTCCACTGTTTCCCCTAGTTATTTACTTCCATATTTGTAAATAATTTATTCATAGCTAGTTCTTGGTTTTGCAACTTTAGACATTGTTTGTTAATGATGGTGGAGTCCCCAGTTCTTTACTTGCATGTCATTAGTAATGACAACTTTTGATTCATTTGAGAGTCAAGATTTATATTTTACTTTTTTTTTAATGGGGGTGGGGGGGCGGCCGCCGGCAGAGGGAAAGAGAGACTCTTAAGCAGGTTCCACGCTCAGCGCGGAGCCCATCTGAGGCTCCATCTCATAACCCTCAGATCATGACCTGAGCTGAAATTGCGAGTTGGACCGCTTAACTGACTGTTACCACCAGGCGCCCCGGGATTTAATATTTTAACTGTGTAAATAGTCCCTGCTGGTCAAATAGTGTAACATGACATCTTACGTGGTTCTTCATTTCTCTTTAAGTTAACAGTTGCCTTTTTAATTTACCTAGTATTACTTTTTTGTATGTGCCCGTTATTATCCCCTGGCCCCACTTCCCCACCCAATCCCAGAGCTCTCCTTCCTGCTCGGCCTGCCGTTCACTTTTCTCTGCTGTAGACCCTGTTTCTGGATCTCATGTCATCATCTTGCTCAGTTTATAATCTTGTATTGCAGGAGCACATTTTCTGGTAGCTTTCTGAGGGAGAATGCATGAAAGATAATTTTTTGAGCTAATGCCTGCCTGAAAATGTCTTTCACTGATGTCAAAATGTCTTTTTTTTTTTTTTAAAGATTTTATTTATTTATTTGAGAGAGAGAGAATGAGAGAGAGCAAGCACATGAGAGGGGGGAGGGTGAGAGG